TCTCTCTCTCTCTCTCTCTCTCTCTCTCTCTCTCTCTCTCTCTATCGTTAGAAATGAGAAGGTTATTCCTCAACATGTGAGTGATATTGATGTATTTTCGTAAATTATCTTCATTCGCTTGTTCACATTGAAATTAACACGTGGTTTTTTCTAAAGCAGATCTATTGCCATCAACGTCCAATAGTCGCGGTGTCTAAATCGTTAGTTCGGCTGGGCTACTAGGAGGTCGTGGGTTCGAATCCCAGTTCGATCGTGTTTTTCAACTTCTGGAAATAGGGGTTGGCGGCTCGAAAGTTTGGCTGGGCTTCGGATCCCCACTGGGGGGACTCTTAACTTCCGGTAAAGGGGTTCAAGTGGCTCACCTATGGCAGATTCTGGTGGGGTCCGTTTCACCTCGGTTCTGGACGAGCGGGAGGTCCCTAATAGAGGAATTGACTGTGCCGACGGAGGGTTTCTGCGGTTTTCTCCGTCTCTCACGGGGACAAATACGGTACAGTGTAGCAAGTCGGCCACAGCCGCAACGTTAGATGGCGGAGTAAACCAAATGTTTTAAAATGGTTTAAATAAAAAAAAATCCATTTCCGATTATATGGCTTTATCGCCAACGTTATCGATTCGACTGAAAAAATGTTCAGTCAAATATTATTCTCCGAGGCTTCCGCAATATTGACGTACATTTTTCATATTTTTCTCGCAATTTTTTTACACAGAAATTCAATGATCACAATTATCGCTATTGTGACTTTTCGAATTTCAAAACCTTCAAGCACTTAATTTCATTGGAAATCTTCGCAATCATTAGAAATGATAAAATTATCTATATTATTATTTCCGATTACGTGGCCTGATCGCCATCGTTATCGATTTGACTGAAGAAATTCTCAGGCAAATAGTATTTCCCGAGACTCAAGTAATATTTACGTATATTTTCCATATTTTTCTCACAATTATTTTACATAGAAATTCAATGATGAATATTATCGCTATTGTAACTTTTCGAATTTTGCACCATTTTACCAATTTCAGAATTCCGGTTAGAAATTAATTCAATTCAAATTCAATTCAAATTCAATTCAAATTGAAAGGAATTTGTACTTACCGTACACCTTTGTCAAAATAATGCGCCACGTGATTTGCTGTTCACGTGCCAATCGTGTACTTCATCTCCTCCTTTTCAGGCTATCAGCCGATAATAAATCACTACTCACTCACCAACTCTAATCTTTTCATCCGTATCTTGACATTTTCGCAATTATAGACTTATTTCACTTCATTCTAACCGATAAACACAATATTCTATTCGAAACTTGAAAAATATGACAATTTGGTTATGATCCAACTTCACACTGACTTTTGTTTCAGCTACGGGTTTCCTTCCAATTTTAGCTGTGACCTTCTCCGGTCCCTGGTCTTCATCGACACGCAAGGTCTCCACTAAA